AGTTTGATGGGAATAATCCCATATTCGAGCACTCTAAGCTGCCGTGAAATTCACCGCGTTTTAATTTGGCCCCGTGACGTTGACGTCACGCGGGCGACGGCAAGGCGGATCCCCTCTCAGATAACCGTGGCCAAAGTTCCGAACCACGTATCTCCATTGCGGTGTTTTAAAATTTTTGCTCCTATTTTATTTTTTCGGAGAGAAACAAACCTGCGGACTGATTGTTGAAATTGATAGACAAAGCGATAGGAAAAGAAGACATAGGGAGTATGGAGCAATCCCATTGGTTGCAAATGGTAGTTCTTACAGACGGAGAGGGAAAATGATGGGCTAACTGTCGGGTCTCTTGTCGGTTGCCGTTAGTTAGCCTATTACTTACCTCCTTCGTCTATTGCAACCAACAGCTTCCACCAATAGGATCCCACCATATCCCATTTCTCTTCTTTGCCTATAGCTTTGTCTATCAATTTCAATAATCAGCCCGCAGGAGCTAGTTTCAGTAGCAAGACTACTCTTGTCAAAGTGTTAGGCGCAACGCCTTCCCCTCTTGGTTAGTTCTTTCGTTTAGGTTAGCTTCATCGCAAATGTTGTATCTTCATTTTTACATTGTATTTTTTATTAACTTTGACTTGAGCTTTCGAGTAGATGTATCACGTCGAGTCACCAAACGGAGCTATTTTTGATAGCAAGACTGACTAGTCAAATTAATCCCTTTAAGAGAAAGGAGAAAGCGAATTTGAAGGGCAATATTTATATATCAGACACAGAGAGCACAGACGGAGGGAAGCTACGTAGCAACTAAAAACTGCACAGTGTTATAGTTCGAAATTTTAACAGAATATTTTGCTGACAGAGAAAAAAAATCAAAGAAATTCGTGAGAAATTACGTTGACTAGTTTTTCAAAGACACGACAAAGTGTGACAGGAAATCTGCAACGTCGCAAACGCAAATACGTGGTTTCGCACTTCCGCCAACGATAAACTAATTCAGTGGCTATTGTATTCTTGTAATATTCGATCGTTCCGTTGTAAAAAATAAAATACACCGAAAAAAATGAAAAACTGAGATGGCATCTTGGTTGTTAATTATGTACCCAGTGCTGACGTGACTCAGAACGTCATTTTGAATAATAACGGAATTCAGGCCCTGTCCAGCACGCGCAGAAAATTTGAGAGTGTTAACAACGTGCAACAGCCGAGCCGAAGAATCGGGATTGAGGTTGTCATGTTGAAATACTGCAGAAAAATAAAAAAAAATGTTGAAATACTGTTACGGTAACATTTCCTGCGAGATTTAACTACCGTAGACTTTTGTTTTTTCATAAACAGGAGGTTGTACTTTACGCATTGAATAACTTGATTTCTTTGTCTGATGTTACTTTCAGTAATTTCAGTTGCTTACGTCTTGTTTAACGTAAAATTTTAATGAGAACACGTGTATTTTAAAGCTTAGATTTGAACCTTGTCCAGCGGTCAATTGCAATCGAAAATCGGCGGTCAATTCTGCCATGCTGAGGAAAAAAGAAGAAAGGTGTGACACCTCTGCATATATCTCTGCCGTCCTGAAGAAAAACACCGTTGATTTAGTATATTCGTTTAGATTTCCTTGGAGACTTTAACGCAGAGGTAGAAAAGTATGTTATGTCTGCACCGCCGTGCTGCGGAAGAATGCCGTAAAAACATTCGAGAGTTGTCAAATTGCCTTCAATAAAATGTTTATTATGGGTCTGTTGCACCTATTTTTTTTAATTCATTTTCTAATAAAGTGCATCATTCTGGGCTTCATGAATTTTTCCCAGAATTTTTGGACCCCCCAAACACCCCAAAAAAGCACCCAAAAGTTCAAAAAATTTTGGCGGGAAAATTTAAAACTACAAATGACGGGAGAGTGATGCCATTTTGTGACGTCACAACTTATACCCCACGTTTGTTTATTTTACAAATACATGGATTTCCCCACAAGGGGTCGAGAGGCAAATTTTCAAAAAGAATTATCAGACTGTTGGAGGCCGTATTCATCAAATTTTCTTGCGATAATAGACTCTTTATACTCTCTAGTTGATAAAAACATCCCTAGTAACTTACAAATCACATCAGATGATTTAATTATTTCCGATGCATCAGAGCATGTCACGAAAGTGAGGTTAAGTTTACAATCTTATTTGGGAAACATATAAGTCCTGTTCTCACGGTAAAACTCTCATATAATGTAGTTTTAGGTTCCTTATTCCTAGGAACTATCTGCCGTGGCATGATGCAGCTTTCTGAATCTAATTCATTGGATATTGGATCATTAGATTCTACTTTTTTGCATGAAATGTTTCTTGCTCAGCTGCGCTAGCTGACTAGCTGAGGGATCAACGTACTCATTTGAACATATTCACTTGTTTAAATCTGTCTGCTCATAAGTAAATTAGTTGAAAATACCATCAATTTTACATAAGGTAAGATTCTCTGCCAACCAAGCACCAGCTATGAACTGTTGGAGGTCCTTAATCACCCGTCCGGTTGAGGAGTTATTACCCTTCCGATTAATCCAGTGCCTGTTTGGATGAATGTATGGTATTTTAATAATTACTTACAACTAATGATGCAAAGAGTATATACAAAAACTATATAGGTATGATATCGGGGGTAAATATTTAAGTCAATAGTTTCCATCATATTTTTAAAACTTTCAATGAAAGGTAGCTGTTGCAGTAAGCAGGACAGATCAGGAATACCTCACTCATACATCATTTGCACTGAAATACTGGGACAATAAGTCATCATTAAGAGTCAAATAATGAATACAAACTTGGTTTTACACAATATATCTAATACATGCGTTGATGTATTTGAGCAAACAGCATCAACTTGACCAGCAAAACCCCCTAAAGGAAGACATAACTACACTTTCGGGACTTCCTTACATGTATTAAACTTTAATATGATGCGATTTGAACATATTCGTTGATAAATATGTAAAATAGAGGATGTGAAGAACTGATATCTGCAAGAAAATTTGGTAAAATAAGTTAAATATCGACCGAAATTCGTTTTAGAAAAACGACTTTGAATTCCTTATGGGGAAGCACAGGTACGTCGAAACGGCGGGAAATAAGATTGCTGGTTGTGACGTAGACGACCAATGAGAGGCCTCCGTTGGAACTTTGAACTTTATTTAGCTTTTGCAGCTTTAATATCAAACTAAGAATGTTTTTAACCACACCAACCGTTTTCTCGTGAAAATTTACATAGGAATGGCTCATTGAACTCCAAATCCCTCCCGAGTGCAACAGACCCATTGAAGGAAGGAATGAAGATTTTTCCTTGAAATTTGCAGAAATTTTAGGTGACATTGCCAACAAAATTATTTAAAAAATTGGAAGGAAAATATTCATAAATTTACCAGGAAATTCGCGTTTTATTAACGGAAATTTGACAACGCCTGAAGGTTCATACGGTGTTTCTCCTTAGCACGGCAGAATTAGAGTACCTGTATAGGGAGAGTAGCGACAGATCTGAAACTCCGAAAGTCCATCAGGCCTTCACCGATGCCTCCGCGAATAAAGTTAGGGCCCAAAAGGGCAGCCAACCTATGAATTTCGAATGTCCAGAGCGATTTACAAATACAATTGTTACGAACCGTCGTTTAGAAAGCATGTTGCAGGTTTACTTTTTGCATAAATTTACTTATTTTTGCGAAAGAACGCTCATTTATGTACATTCTTAGCCATCTTGGTTAGAATTGAAATCTGTAGGCTGGCAGTGAAATTTTGTGTGTTAGAAGTTGCTCAGAAGGGTGGCTACACTTTTGGGCCCTAAGCCCTCCATGAACCGATCTGTCGCTACTCTCCCTATACAGGTACTCTAGGCAGAATAGCCTCAGGACTTTACAGTTATACCCGGAGACTTAAACGCAGGAGTAGAAAAAGCAACTAAATACGCTTCACCGTTAAAATCATGTTTTGTGCATTACATTTTTTAACTTACTTTTAAATACCCTACAAATGCATCTAAAACTGCATATTTGACAAAGATTAAAAGGAGGAAACGATGGTGAATAATGGGTCATCAGTCATCAATATGCGAATTCCAGCGTTGGTCTCAGAAGTTAGAAAGTAACTTTGGTGCGCGATTTGACTCATGTTTTGTTTTTTCATGAGCGAGGGGTGTGAATTTACGCATCGATAAACGTTGAATATCTTCGTTAGGAGTAAATTTCAGTGATTTTTGTCGCACGAATAGTGTTTCACATGAAATTTTGATGACGAAACACATATCTGAGTGCTTAAATTCGCAATTTGTCTAATTGTCAATTGGACCGAGTTTACCAGAAAGTAACCAATACACATTTTCGAAAAAGTTAAGTTAAGAGTGTTTTTGTGTTTCATTAGCCATATATTTCTCCTGCCAAAAACTGAATGTCTAAAAGCAAAACCTTTTTTGTGAAATAGGGGTTGAAGTTTATTTCTTACATTGAGCCTTATTAAAACTTCAAAACCTCTTTTTCTCAGTTTCAACCTAATATGTATATTGTATTGGTTTCTTTCTGATGAGCTCGGTCCAATTGGGCTTAACACGTACCTAGACCATTTGAATCGCACTTGACATAGGGAAACCGAATCGATTGTAGTGTTGTAAAAATCATCTTTTTACATCATCTTCATCTTATTTTGTATGAAAAATGTCTAGAATAGGAAATTTTTTTATCTTTATTTTTTTTACAACAATTGTTGATTTCAGGGGAAATTGATCATGTTTTTACTATCGTACATAAAGTGAGTATATTTTAAAGCAAAGAGGACGTTTCAAGCTGTTGAAAATAACGTAATCAAGTTGGGTCCTGCTGTTTAATGTAGTTCAGAGGAGCCCTTCCCTTTACGTCAGAGGAGCGACGATACAAGTGAAATCATCTTGTAACTTTAAATTATGAGACAAAGTGTGTGGGCTAGTTACATGTAGCAGTTTAATGTTAATTTTCTTTCAATGCTATGACGCGATATTTATGTGCACAGAATCCCCACACGTGACGCACATACATCATGCAGCCACATTTCGGGAAGCGGGTGAACACGATCTCGGAAATGCTCAATTTCCAGAAACCCAGGAAAAACATGGTGGGCCCGGCGTGGAACAAAATGATTCCAAGATACGAAAACGATGGGTAAGTACGACTAAATGATTCTAAATTCACTCGAGTGTTCCTGGGATGGACTGCCCTTGATCGAAGGGTTCATGTTACATAACATCGCACATAATGTGATACGAGTGGTGAACACTCTAAAAACTGAAGATTCGTTAATGAAGGGGAAATTGCTTAACGACGGTTCTTAATGGGCCTTTACTGCCGTGCTAAGGAAAAACGCCGTATCAACCTTCAGGCGTTGCCAAATTTCCTTTGGTTAGTCATGAATTTTCGAGAAAATTCGTAAACATTTTTCTTCCAATTTTTCAGAAAATTTTGTTCGCAATTACCTACAGTCCCTGAAAATTTCTCGGAAAAATATTCATAACTTACCTGAAAAATAAACATTTTATCGAAGGAAATTTGGCAACTCTCGAATGTTCATACGACGTTTTTCCTTAGCGCGGCAGTTTAAACAAGGTATAAATTAAAGCACAACGATATGTGTTTTCTCTTCAAAATGCCACGAGGGAAACGAATCACACGACGGGAAGTCTGAAAATCAACTCATGAACAAGCTATAAGCGTTCTCGATTAACATTGGTTAAATGGCAAAAATACAAATGACGTCATTTGTATAATCGAACCTCCATTTGATCTGTGTTTAAAAGACTCTTTATATTAATATCTATACTATATTTATATACCTTACTATAGTCTTATATATCTTGATATAGTCTTACTATATCTATATTATATCAATATCTTATACTAATATCTATTAATATCAGAAGTTGATTTTAAAACTACCCGGTGTGTGAATTGTTTTCTGCGTAAGATTTTGAAGAAAAACACGGATGTGTTCCTCTATTTCAGACCTTGTCTAAAGGCCTAAATACACACGGCGATTACTCGCCGCGATTGAAAGACGAAAGCTCAGATTTCGATACATCGACGTAAATAGATCGAAATCAAGGCTCTCCATTGGCTTCCGTCTTTCAATCGCGGCGATTAATCGCCGTGTGTATCTAGGCCTTTAGAGTCCATTACGGTGTTAGAGAAAGATAGGGGTATCGACGAGGGTCGTTTTTGGGTCAACGCTGAATTACCTCAGCTCCGTGATTTTTTGCTCATTGAAGGCCTATTTCCACGGAATAACTTTGTCATTTCCGATGTTTTTGGGTCTAATATTGGCCGAATTGGACGTATTTCTGTCAAACGGAACTAAGCGCCAAATTGAGTTCCTTTTCAGGATTTTAGAATCCCGGATAGCGCGTTCTGTCAAACGGAACTAAGCGCCATGGAAAAGCATTGCGAGTATACTACCGTACTAAGGAAAAACGCCGTGTGAACCTTCAGGCGTTGCCAAATTTCTTTTGATAGAACGTGAATTCCCTGGTGAACTTATGAATATTTTTCCCCCAATTTTTTAGAGAATTTTGCTGGTATTTTGATCTAAAGCTCCTGAAAGTTTCGAGGAAAAATATTCATAATTTTCCTCAAAAATAAATATTTCATCAAAGGAAAAATGGCAACTCTCGAATGTTCATACGGCATTCTTCCTTAGCACGGCAGTATAGGACGGAACTAGAGTCCGTTTATACTGAGAGTCAAGACAATGCGAATCCATTTCTGATTGGTCAACCGGATTTTAGGCCTTCACAGTGTCACAAACGGGAATAAAGATTACATTTTCACCAATTGCAAAGATTATAATCTGGAATGGACCGAGGAATTTCGGGTTCGACAAGGAACAAACGGAATGAGAGAAGGAACGGAGAAAGGAATTTAAGAATGAGCCGATACGAAAAACGTTCAATTTCTGTAATCTTTATTCCCGTTTGTGACTCCATGAGGGGTGTTGTCTTGACTCTCAGTATAAAGGGACTCTAGACGGAACGAGCATCGCGTTCTGCAACACCCGTCAGTCCAAGCCCCCCTCTCCCTTCCTCCCCTACGGCGCTTAGTCCCGCGTTTGATAGAAATACGTCTAATTGTGGATCTTAGGGTCGATTTTGGCAAAAACTGCGGATTTGCGGTTGAATGCCGAAAAATTGGAATTTCTCGCCAAAAGCAGCCTTCAGGCCCATGTTCCGGCCAGTGTAGACCTGAAAAGAGATATACCCTGACTCTTGTCTTACTCGGAACTACGCCAAGGACGGAAATTACGCAATCAAGAGGCGCTAAGACTTGCAAGAGCAAAGTGGTCCCCATGCAAGTCCACTGCTGCGCCAACTTACCGATGCGACCAGTTTTCCACACGACGCGCGACAAGAGGAGTGGAGAAACTATGAGCTGATTAAAAAAAAAGAGCGCTGAAACATTTCATTCATTCCAGTCCGACGGCTAGTTGCAGGACTACCGAGTTGATCGATATTCGATTGCTTCGACTGAGTTAGCCTTCCCGTTAGACTTCATTGGCGGAACTATCGATTCTCGACTATAGTGGAGGCGCATGATTCCGCACGTGTACGACTGGTACTCAGCAACACTATTGCCAGATTTGTGGGCATACACGTTTTTTTTCCAACTTATAAGATGTATTATTAACGTGTAGATGTCTAAACTCCAAAACCACGTGCCTCAGTTCTGTTGTGACTTGGGTTCGTTTACATTGGGTCAACTTTGGAGCTCCATGATAGCCTAAAACTGATGAACCAATCAGAGAGCGGCACAGAGATGGCAATACTCTCCCGTAAATAGGTACTCCAGTCATTACTTTATGTCTGTATTATGGACGGTTGGCAACTCCGCAAGTTCCGCACGCTCCGTACGGAGGCATGCGTCGAACGCGAGAGGCTGCGACGCACAGTGGATCGAGGCAGCGGGAGAGGTCGGACCAAATTCGGAAACTTTAAAAGCTTATGACGCCGTTCATAAAAAAACTTTGAGGTTTTAAAAGTGATTCCAGTGGTTTCCTTGCGAAATTTTCTCTGAGAGGCATCCCTCAAAATTTAAAACGTGACGAAATAAAGATCAAAATTTGCGGTTTCGGTCAAAACTTTTATGTGCGGCCTCTCTGATTTGGCTAGATCTACTGTGCGGCGCTGCGTGCGGAGTGCGTTGCGTTGCGTCTCTGATGAAGCGATCTCTAATTGCTTGATTACTTCTAGCCGCGGCATGCACCACTACTTCCGATGGGTCCTCCTGTGGGCCTCCTGCGCCGGGGTCTTCCCTGTCAGCGGCGTCCACCACGAGAACGTCTTCAAGCTGAGCTTCAGCTGGCTCTCGCCCTTCACCGTCTACTCGGTCGCCCTCCTCACCGGCTACGCCACCATCGAGATCATCTCCCTCGATTACACCATCCGCAACCTCAACGAGGACAGCCTCACCGCCAAAGGTACATGCATCTATAGAGAAAATTAGGGGGCTATGCCCCCTGGCCGCTACGCGGCCCGACCCCCAGAGGGCGCTTCGAGCTCTCTTAGGCCCACGTCGACAAAAGAACTACCAAAAAATGAAAAGATTTACATTCCCGACTCTCATTTGTCGAATCTCCCTCTAGCCGGGAGCGATTGGACCATTGCATTGGTTTTTTCATTCGACTCTTTGAATGAAAAAATCGGCATTTATTACATTGAGATTAGGGGAGGTTTCAGGAAGCCCTCAAAACAGTAGCGACTCTTGAAAGGAGGCAATACTGCATTAAATTGTGAGTCAGAAAATTGATCCTTGGTGAAACAGCTAGCCTCACATAGAATCGATATTTTTAATGGATTTACTGAAGGACAGCAGCGCTGCCAACTTGTAATCGCCACAGCCTCAAAATAGCGTCAGCAAAAAGGATAATTTTTGCCGACCTCGAGTAAAATGCAGCAGTTTAACTTTGGAACGGGATCCTTGCAAAGAATTACGATGATTAGTCACTGCAGTAAGTACAAAATACATGAGAAAAAAATAAAAATGTTATGATTTTTAAAAACTTTTAGGCAAGTGCGAAGCTACCTTAAAATGTACAAAAAAACACAATATTGCCTTGTGAGCAAGGATTATATTTGCCCCTCAGGTTGCCCGTCCTCTACACCTCTATGCTAGTGAACGAGGTTTTATAATAGGCCTCACCATCTTGGACTAATCACCTTCAATGGTTTCTATTTTAATGGCTTTATTTATCGAGTATACATCAACTACATGCCTACGACCACAGGTTTGAAGGAACACATGAGATTGTCGATTTTCCGATTTGAACAAGCTAATACATTCAATTAGCGAAAAGCACCGCAGGATCTTACTTTCACCTTTCTTCTTTAGGGGATGTTGCCTGAATAACTTGCTTTTGTCAATGTGTTTGGTTACTGATTTCAGGAGGGTTGAAAAAAGCGACTTCCGGTAGTATTTTCTACGGAAACGCATGTATAGCAACTTGCCTTTTCATCAGCCTGGCGAGACGATGGCCTGGCCTTGTGAGAGAGTGGCGAGGGGTTGAAATATCCATGGCCCGTTTCGGATCCCCAAAATTAGGTTGGCGTTTCGCTATGTGCACCATTCTGCTCATGGGACTGGCTTTTAGTAAGTTACCTTTTCCCTAGAATTTTAGATGCCTCATAGGAATCGATTTTGCCGAAAAATCAATTTTATCATATCTCAGAATTCCGGGGATACGCCCTCTGGCCGCTTTGCAGTCTAATCCCTGATGCACTTCGCGCCTTAGGCGCTATGCGTGATGCGTGACTCTTATAATTTTATGCCATGGAGTATGACATGACCTTGGTGTCGTGAGATAGTAAAAATCAGATAAGGAGCAGGTAGAACATACATCAGAATCTCTGGAAGTCATAAATATTTGTCCTTAAAAAGAAATAAAGTGGCAACCTGAAAATCGAGTAACTCGAACTGAAGTTCAGAAAAGCTCCATTACCTGAACTGAGAAGTTCGATGAGCCATATGAACCAAATTTTGATCGTTTTAAACGATGCCATTCCCTCCGTGTAAAGTTTAAAACATTTTTCATGCGTTTTATGTTTATAAAAAAGGTCTTATTGCAGTCCATTTCTCGTAAGATTGTAAGATGTAACTCACTGCAGCTGTGGTGAATTTTCTAGCGGAACACGGACTTCATAATTGGCTGAATACACGCCCGGGTAGTAAAGATGACATTGCCGCGATGTCGTTCAACTCCACCGGAGAATCAGCAGAGAACGATGCACCTCATTTGATCGACCAATCGGTGAGAACGGAAACCCACCTCGATAATAAAGCGTTAAGACGTGACCATAAACTAGATGTGTAACATTCCATGACGCTCAAAATAAATTAAAGAAAACGATATCGAAACATTGCCATAGACTTTGAAAGCATTGAAAGTATTTTATGTCACATTTGGGACTGAAATTCAACGAAACATAACGATTCAAATTTTAAAAGTTCATACTTATTTTAAGCTACTCCATACGTCCTCTTTTGCCGACAAAGGCCTAAGGTCATAATGAATTCATCCAAAGAGACCGTGGAAAAACATTTAGTCCGATCGAAGGCGGCAGCTTGGAAAGTTCTCTATTAGATACATTCAGGAAAATTCACACGTACCCTCCAAAAATTATCTCATCTCTGAAAACCTTCATAAATTCAAAAATTGTATAGTTATACATAAATATCCATATTAGAGAGCCAATTCGTAAAATGTATAAAATACTTACTCAATGAAACACTTTAAATGATGCACTCATAAAGAGAGCCCTTCAATATCAATATGACCTCTACCTCCAATAAAATACGGACGTGCTTGGCTCATGGTTATAAAATAAACCGGCCATTGATAACCCAGAAGAAGTTTGAGTCGACCCAAAACCAAAACCCTACACCCAGTTTTAATCAGGGTCATCTTCCTCTCACCCACCTGCACCGACATTCACCGTGGACAGTAAAACATAAGAATCATCATCAACATGAAGGCTCTCACGCCTGGAGTATCACATTTCTGCAGGCTCGATTGCTTGATTACGTTTTCGTCAATTTTATTCAACGCATACGTAATGCGAACAACAAGGTCTACTCATTAAAACACCCCGCAGAAGAGCTCGTTATATCGGACCGCGTGAAACAGGACAATTGGGCATCATAAAGCAAACATGATTTGTGGCATCGCTGGTTTTAGTGGTTTTGGGAGAATATGCTTCGGGAATAGGCTGTCGGGTAGATGGGTTGAGAGGGAAATTTGAAGAGCTGATACGGATTCTCGGCCGATTATCGAAACCTAATCGATATCATACCGTATTACCTTAATCGCTATACAAATATTGAAGGAATAAGGTGGAGAAATGGTGCTGGGTCCACACCATTTCGCGGGAAAAACAAAGCCAAGAGGTTCCAAAAATTATAGTTAGAGTCAAAACTAAATTTTTTTGACTCTAATGAGTACCAGTACAAAACTAAGGGAGGGGGGGGGGAGAGTGTTCAGCTCAGGCAGTTTGCCTTTGAATATTAAGTTGAGGTCACGCCGAGAGATCTATACCGGTTTGGGTCTTTTTAGACCTCATCAGGAATATTGAAGGATATAGGGCTCTGTCGATGAAGGTCATTCGACAAAAAAACAAGGGTGCCATTTTTACCAAAACATAGAGAGAGGGGCTAAAGACGTTGAGGAAAATATTTTTTTGGGAGAGGTCGGTTTTTTGGGGCAAAAATTGTTTCAATTACTCAATAAACATCCATGCTTACAGGGAATCGGTCGTGTCTTTTCTATTATTGGATGTATTTATGCCAAAAGGACCTAGAGAGAGAGACTAAGAAGGACTAAAAGGAAAGATGGGGTGTGCTCGTGGAAGCTGCAAAAGAACAGTGTAAAAGTGGGCATAATCCCTTTCGGGAAAATACAAGAGTGGGATTTGACTTTAAATCAAAAGGAACTAAGCGCCAGCTAACTCATGAGCAGTGAGCATAGGACAAGAACAAGAGTGTCGTGGACAGGACTCATGAGTTAAAGAGCGCTCACGTCACCGCTGACGTCACTGGCGCTTTATAATTCCCATCTGTTCCTAAAGCCTTCAACTAACGAGCGCTCCCTTTCTTTTCACCCGTCTCTGGTTCCTTTTAGCATACATACGCCCAATTAGTGTTTTTCCAAAACCATGTTAAGATTTCATACATTTTGTTGAATCGAAGTTTCTGAACGAGGAGTATAGAATTTCGACGGTGTAAGTCGGCAATCACATAACTCGGTTTGCGACGTCGCAGACTTCCTGTCATACTTTATTTGTTAAACGGAAAACAACTCAACGGCAATTCTTTAAAACTGCCGTAATTTTTCTTCTCTGTGTGAAGAACATTCTACAAAAACTTCAAGGAATGATGTCAATTTGTTCTCCTTTAACCGAATAACATAGAGGTGGAGATTTTCAGACATCGCAACGAGATATGTGATTGCGGACTTAAACCGTCGGTTTGATTATTGTAATCTAGCAGTTAATTCCACGACGTCTGGACGATTTTGGCTTAATCATTTGACGTTTTTCAATATGCTTTTCCCAGAGATAGACAACCAGAATGAGCTTCTAGACGTCATGAATCCATTTTCTGCTTTGAAATATAAAGTATATTATAACTTGAACGGAATATATTCGCTATCTCAGACTTTGTTTACTTCCTGTATAGTTTCATGCGAAAAGCAGGCGATTTCATCGGATGTTCTTCTTTTCAGCTCACATTCAAGGGGTACTTGGAGCGATTCGCACTGAAGACTCACTGGTACTTGTTCACGAGTTTTAGAGATTATCACCCGATCAAAGGTTTCATCGTCATGTGGCTGAGCTTGTCCGCCACTTTTTTATGGAATTTCACGGATCTGTTTATAATGCTTGTCAGCACCGCCCTAGCTGCACAATTCAAGCAGTTGACAGTCGCTCTCAGAGGTATTCGAGGCAAGGTTATTAACACTGATTAATAACTCAACAAACGATTGGAATTGGGAACAGTAGAAAAATGGGATGTAAATACTATGATAACTACGGGTCATTTTTAGATTTTATCTTTAAAAATTATGTCACTCTACATCAACAGGCTGAAAGTAATCTGTTCTTGACATCAACGATTTTTTGAAGCCACTCAGGGTCATAAAGGATTGTTTCATATTGATGAAAACGCGTATCTCGACTTACGACAATGCAAACTCTCCGTCATAATGTATTTTTTATTTATTTATTTATTTTTTATGAAAAAAACTCAACGTCGTTTCTTGAAAACTACCCTCGTTTTTTCTCTTGGGGTGAAGAATATTCTATGAAAATTTCAAGCAATGGTGGTGGTTCATTCTTCTTTCATCAAGTAAAATGGGAGCGGAGTTTTTGAAAACCGTCAAACGAGATACGTGGTTTTGCAGTTTTACAGTCAATATGTGCGTACGGAAAAAGCAATTTTAAAAACTTCCTAAAATGTTCAAAGGACGGACAAAAAATCTCGCAGATTGTACTTTAGGACGAAGGTGTTTTTGAGAAAGCTCAAGGTGGTTTTTGGATTTTAGACTGTTAGACAGTGATACAGTTCTTTTCCACTTTCGAACCATTTTATTTTTCACTTCAAGGTCCATAATATGCAAGATCGCCAATGCAATGTAGCTGTAGTTATTGCACAGTGCTATGCATGTTTTGTGCGAAATTCACCGCAACAAGTCATAACTGCGCCGAGAATCGGCGGTCAATGGTCGCAAGCTTTTCATTTATACCGGGAGACTTTAACGCATGAGTAGAAAAAAAAGTCCAAAATGCAACCACGAAATCATGCAGAAGATAGCACTTACGGCTGTCTTACCTAACAATAGCATGAAATTGAAAACACCATTTTTATGTAATTGAAACAAAATCAGTCAATTTTCAATCATCCAAACGATTGCTAGGCGTCTTTCGGATGATTAGTGGCAATTTGACGAGGAACGCTCGAGGTTCCTTTCAATAAAGTTTTCCGATCAGACGCCTCTGAGCCAGTTTTTCTCAAACTTTCATTTTACTGCTCTCTTCGCTATCACGGCAGTTTAGCCTGACTAAAGCCAAACCACGAGAGACTCTATCGTTATAGTTCACCATTTTCTCCCTTAGTCTATAGGAGCCACACATTTCAACCAATTAGATCGCTTATTCGCATCTTCCCTATGTCATCTTTGTCTATAGCCTTGTCTATCAATTTCAATATTCAGCTCGCTGAGGTGCGGGTCTCTTGTGACAATTGATAAGCGAGGCTTTAGGCTGGCAACGACGCACAGTGGATCGAGTCAATCAGAGGTCGGACATGAAATTTTTGACTGAAACTCCAAATTTTGGCGTTTATTTCGTCACATTTTACATTAGGAGGGGTGTTTTTAATTGAAAATTTCACGATAAAACCAATAGGATCACTTTTAGAACCTCAAAATTGTGTATAAAAGGAGTTAAAGGCTTTTAAAGTTTCCGAATTTTGTCCGACCTCTCCTATTGACTCGATCCACTTTGCGACGTAGGTTTCGGGACGAAGCGCTTGTGAATTAATTTTCGATGCGGGCGTTTTGGCGTGTCTAATGGGATCCTGGTCTTGTGCAGATGCTGTCGATGGTGGAATGGCGTGAGTACCGCGAGACGTACACCTCGCTGACGCACCTCGTCAAGACGGTCGACGAGAACATCAACACCATCATCACGCTCTCGGTCGCCGGGAACGTCTACTTCATCTGCGCCCAGCTCATCACCGAGATCGAGTAAGTTCACTCCGTCAAGGTCGCCGGAGCCCTCGCCAGCGAAGAAATCCCGCTTTGTTCCTCGCGATGCGCTCCGCTGAAACTTTCCCGGCCACGAAAAGCTCCGCTTACACCCGTGGGCAACGAGCTATAAAGGTTCCGGCTACGTCAGCTCGGCGGGCTTATCCTTGAAATTTATAGACAAAGCCATAGACAGAGGAGACATAAGGGGTATAGAGCGATCCTATTAGTTGAAATGGGTGGTTCTTATAGACTGACGGGGTATATGATGGACTAACTATCGGGTCTATCGTGGATTGCCGTTAGTCAGTTCATTACCTACGTACGTCCTTTGCCCATTGCAACCACCTGCTTTCACCAATAGGATCCAACCATATGCTTTTTCTTTTCTTTGCCTATTGCTTTGTCTATCGATTTCAATAACCAGGGCTGATTTTTGAAATTTATAGACAAAGCCATGGAAAGAGGAGACAAATGGGCTATGGAGAGATCCTATTGGTGGAAGCAAGTGGTTGCAATGGACAAAGAAGGCTGATAATAGACTGACTAACGGCAACCCTCGAGAGACCCTATAGTTCTGCCATCCAAAATAAAAACACCGTGTCTCCATTCGACGTTTTTTCGATTTTTTCTTCTGCCAAAATACTATTTCCAAAAAAGAAAAAAAACAGCAAATATTCATCCTTCACTTTTTCGAGTCGATTTTGACGTACCATTAGGAACTCAAAAGTAAAAAAATTAAGCCTTGTCACACTTAGATTTTCTTTTATTAGAGCAGTAAATGTAGAAGAAAAATACAAAATTCGTAGGGGAGTTACAGCGTTTTTGCTGTGGACAGTAGTGTTAGTCTGTCATTACCCCCTCAGTCTGAAGAATCACCCATTTCAACCAACAGGATCGCTCCATACTCCCTTTGTCTTCTTTGTTTATCGCTTTATCTATCAATTAGAACAATCGGCCCGCTGGTGTCACTTTGAGAATAACACGAAATAACTATCTCATTTCCATTAGACAAAAGCAGCATTTTTCTAACGGAAAATCACGATATTTTGAAATTCAGTTGCAATTTTTTTACGACTTTTTGGCGACAAAATTGCTGAAATTATCAACATTTGAGCGATTATCCTCGACTATCCTCGATGGATGCTTTGAAATTTCAAAAATTTTCTGGAAGAAGGCCAGGGCCGGATTTGCCTACTTGCCGCCCCCTTTTCATTCGTTTTGAAACATCAATAAAAACCATCAAGTGAACGTGCCAGCGGGGGTGGGGTGCATTAGACGTGTTGGAAACATTTTATGGGAAAGCCCTGTCAACACTACTAGCAAAAATTCATCGAACTTTGCGCGAACGTTAAGTTTCGTAAACCTATCTCTGCGTGGACAAGGCCTTCCACTCATAAGAAATGAACGGAAAAATTATGAAAGAACAAACATACATGTGGTTTAATGATTTTAACTTCCGCCGCCGCGCCGCGCAGACTGCACCGTGTTTGGAGCAATGCGTGAAGTATACGTGCATTCTTGTAGGCGCTATCCGTTTCACGCTGACCGCAGTAACCGCACTGTGTTTTTGATGCAATACGTGAAGCATTCGGCAGTCTTGTAGGCGCTAATATGTGTTACATACCGACCGCCGCGCTGAGGGCTTCTCCTTCTCATCTCAAGTCCTCGTCATCATTTCTCTCTCAGTCGCGCCGTTCCTGGCCAAATTGCGTGTTTGGTCTCTCTCTTAACTCGATTAATTAAAGGTGCTGTCTCTTGTATCATCGAAAGACGACACAATTAGAAATTACTATACGTACTCTCAGGAAATGAGAGAATTTTTTTGTAATTGTTTTCTAAATCCAATTTTTTTATACCTACATTTAAAAAAATTGCAAAATTTGCCGCCTCCTAGATTTGCCGCAATGGGCCGCGGCCCATGTGGCCACCCCCTTAATCCGGCCCTGCGGATCTCCTCCTTGGCCCTCGTTATTTTTTCAATTGGACGTGTTTCTGCCAAACGGAACTACGTGCATTCTGACGTGAGCCCTGTTATGCATAATTCCTATGGGTCTCTGGGCTCATGCCTTCTTGCGCATAGTTCCGTTTGGCAGAAATACGTCCAATTGGTAAATTCCGCTAGCCAGTGAGCCCCTGCAAAACGGGAGGTTTGTGATAGAACGAACAGAATCTATAAGCTTTCGTGACAAGCACGATGGTATACCTCTGGTCGTATCAATCAACTTCAAAGCGTTCAGGAAGGCTTTAAAGTTTAGAAGTCACGTCGGTATAATACTTTGATTACGTGTAAAAGATGTATCCTTCGTTCGCCTGAAGAAAAATTTTCCATGATTATTTCCATTCTTGCATCGATTTGAATTATGATTCTTTTCCACAGTTCTATCACCCATAGTTACTTCCGGACGTTATTTTATTTGTACTCCTTCCTGTTCCTGGTTTTCCGCACGACGGCCGTAGTCATGTTGGCTGCAGAGATCCACGACGAAAGCTCCAAAATCGTCCCAGAGCTTTTTTTCTGCCCGTATCAGAGCTACTGTCTAGAGGTAGTTTTTTTCCTGAAAAATTTGAACTTATGCAATTTCTATTTAAATATTTTTTGAGAAGACACTTATCATGTATGCATACATTGCAACAAATACTAGTAGAAATTACAATTTTTGTCATACCTCAAAACAATCCACTGCAGTTTTTTCTACAGTATTCCGGATTTTTTCTTCAAGAGAAAAGTCGCTTGGACCTAGAGTCCAGACTCTTAAAAACATGGACAAGAAAAAACAAGCAGTGAACTCCAACACAATGTGTTGATAAGGCGCGTCATTAACTCGCACATATCAACCCCTTTAGTTTTCATTTACAGAGATTTCAAAATAGGCAAACAGCATAAAAAGAGAATTCACGATCCAACACTGCGAGGTCAAAGACGCACCTTGACGAGACCGTGTATTGTGAAAGTAGAAAGCTATTCGATCGAATTTAAGTTTTTTGATCTGCCTCAAGCAAAATCTTATCAGATTCTTGAAGAAAAGTGCTACGGAATAATTTAAGCGAAGAAAGGAAAAATTCTGTCGAACTCCTAGAAGATAAAGTCGATTTAAAGGTATTTTGGGGCTAAAATACCCAAATCACCGGTAGTAAAAATCCCGTTATATTATTGAAAAGAAATTGACTCGATATAAATGCAATTGCATTAAATACGTCTTGATTTTGTTATTTTAAACGTCTTTCCATGCAAAGAAGTTCAACCATGTCGTTGCTTTATTCATTCATGAATTGAAAGTAAGCAATCTACATCCCGAAAATCTACTGATTTGCCGTAAAAAATTGCAGAAACTTGATATACCAGGTCGATGCACCCACTCGTTGAATTTACCAACCAATTTTGTGAGTGCAAATGTGTAAGAATCAATATGCTATAGTCATTTTGGGTGCATTTATTTTTCATGAAACAATAATAATTTCAATCCCGAAAAACCATCAATTTTCCGTATAAAATCGAAAAAATCAAAATATGTCAACTCCCCGACGTGAAAATTAGATTCTACGTATGTAAAATGTAAATACTTATGTATCGATATGCTGAACAGAACTATGTGTGGACAGTCAGAAGCCCGCGGCAACATTAATTCAACAGAAAAACTGTAAAAATTAGATAGGATTTTAGCCGCTTTGCCCGCCTCTCCTCGCTACTTACAACAAACCGTTCTTATACTCATCTCAAAATTTTTCTCAGAGCTTTGGGTTATTATCAGCTTCCATTTAAACTCCGGTTCGATGGCCGAATCGGCTGCCAAAAAAGCAAGCCACTGTTGAGGGGTTCTATGAGAAATTCGTGATATTATCGGCTCTCAGGAAATCACCCCATGGCTAAAATTGGTGGTATAAATGTTTAAGTGCTTAAAATAATCGTATTCAAGAAACTAAGGAATTAAACTATGGAGTCAATTTCTTTTTAATAATATAACGAATTTACTACCGGTGATTTAGCTATTATAGCCCCAGAATACTTTTAAAGCGCCTTTGCGTTCCAGAATCTCGACGGAATTTTTTTTTTTTTTTTTTTTGCTTAAACGATTCAAGAAACATTGTAGTTAAAAATATAAAGATTTTTCGATTTGGACGTATGAAAAATGTTTAACTCGTTCAGGCACACCGTGTATTGTATGGAGTACTGCTGTTATTCGACCGTTGTCTTCAGGTCAAAATTCTTACAAAGAAGCCCCTTGCAAGAGGCAAATTTTTTGTAATTTCTCCCAGTTTTTTCAGCGTTAGGTATATAAATGAATTGTTTGTCAAATTTTGAGGTCAATTATATTTAATTGTAATTTATACTTTCTTTTTTTCCCCTTCATTTTATTTTTCGTATCGAGGAGTCGAGGTTTTGTTGATTTCTTCGGATTTCGATTACTGTAACTTCTCTTCTATTCGGCCGATTTTTATGAATGAGGTCTCTTTTTATTTGTGTTTTAACGGAGAGTAAGGAAAAAATTGCTAAATACATGCGAAACAATTTTTTTTGAAAATTGGATGAATCCTAGCGTGACGGTGAAATGGTTAATGAAGCGTGAGTAATTGGGGTACGGGTATCGGCCGCGTTGGGACCCAAGGCCCATTGTTCTTCGTGACGCCGACGCAGTGATCAGGAGCGTGGGGACGAGAGGGCTTAGTGGACTCCTGTATGAGCCACGTTTAGCAAATGGTCTAATGAGTCTCGAGGCTCATCACAGATTGCACTTACCACTATCCTGGTGGCCCCGGCTATCAGAGCAAGGAGTACCAACTTTTGAAAAGGATAACAGTGTTGTGGAGATATGTCAAAGCAACGTTGTGAACAAAACGGAGTGAGTGAAATTCTCATTCAAGGAGTGCCGAACTGGTCAGCCATCCTCGAATCAGTTCGCTTGCTTCCGCTTATATATGCATATTTTAAATCAGCGCGCCCCATTCTAAGGTTTTTTTAAAAAAAACCAAGAAACGTAGACTCTTGGTATTCATTACACATAAACTAGCGAGCCCCAGAATGAGAAACAAATTTTAATCATTATTATTGACGGATTAGTAAACTTTTTACACGCTTTGGAAAATCTCAGAAGTTCGCGGTAGTCACTTTTCGGTAAGGAACTAGGGGACTCGGTTATTGTATCGAGGGGGGGGTCGAAACGATCGCAAAGGCGGTATACTACGTATACGCGCCAATACTCTTGATTCAATCGGACTTTTTGCTTGCAGGAAATCCGCCTAAATCAAGAGGCCAGCTCTTTGATTTAAGGAAAAGTCGGATTGAATCATGAGTATTTTTTCTTGTCAATGTTATTAAGAGTCTGGACTCTAGATCTAAGCGACTTTTTTTCCAGTGCGATGTAGCCGCGGTGAATCGGATGGCTAAGGAATGTAACCACCTATCTGACAATTTTAGCCAAAATAAGTCAGCGATGGTGCCGCAAATAAAGCTTAATTTCGAACCTTGACAATGAATAGGTCAAATGAATTCAAAAATCAGCGGCCAATGGCTTCAAGATTTTTCTTGCACACTGGAGACTTAAACGAGAGGTAGAAAAAACAACTACATACACTTCATCGTTGTAGGTTCATATTTTATGTAAAATGGTCCACTGGCTTAGAAACCCTGGTCATATTTTTAAAAACTCGCGAAGCAAAGTGCTTACCTCGACATTCACCAGTCATTGTAAGACAAAATTTGATACTTCCATGATCAATCATTATTAGGCGAAAATTAGCGTTGAGCTCTGGACGTAATTTTTACGTAACCCGCGATTACATCGCTCAGATTAATTGTTAGTGTAAAATTTCTAACACATCGTCGTCTCCCTCACGAAAACACGTGACTAAATTCCAAAGTTGCCAAATTTACCATCAGAAATTGCATTTTTACCAGGAGAATCCTGGACATTTTTGCCTGAAAACACTGATTTTTCCTTTGATCTCAGGCAAGAAATTAGAAAAAATTTAGACAAAAATTGCACTAGGTAGGTACTTCCTTGCAAAAAAAGTATGTTTTTATTCTATTTGGCAACCTTGAGGTGAAGTTACGTTCCTCCGTTCGGGAATTAACGATATATTTTTTGTTTTAATCGTTTATTTTGTAAAATGCAATAAATTTACAAAATCAAAGGGGTGTCAACTTAACACTGCTTCCCACAGTTTACAACTTAAAGAGATAATTCTTTTACAGCTTAAATATTAATATATTCTGCTACTGAGGGCTTAGAACTATAATTTTAAGTGTCCCACTTGCAAAGCTTAATACGAAAAAACCCTTCACAACGATATATTGGATTACATCTTGCAATGAGGAACCACTATTTCGGGCTCATTTTGGAAGCAACCTATGTATCATCAGTTTCCCTAAGCAGAAAAGTGCTTTTATGGAAAAGTCAGAAATAGTGGTTCCTCATTGCAAAATGTAATCCTATTGTCCCTCTTATTAACTGATTGGTTCCATTCTTTTTGGTCTCATCAACTTATCCACCTCACCGAATTAATTCATTGCATCACTGAACATGTGTTCCGATCGGAGCTATGCTAAATAGGCAGGTGCGTTCGGTACGTAAATCCGTAACTTATTTTCCTCGTGATTCTCATTCCAGACGCAGAGATTCCTCCAAGAGGCCACTTCCGATTACGTCTCGCTGACCGGCCTGAATATGTTCTCGGTTACGCGAAACTTCTTACTCGGGGTGAGTTGAATGAGCATCTTCCGTCCGTCTGGTCCCATTCTAAAAAGGAACCGCGCCAATGTTTGGATTCGCCGGGAAACCAATTACATCGATGCGTCTCGCACGATGAGGCAATCTGGGTCGCCGAGCCAAATCCGACGGATAAACAGAGTTGTCAAATTGCTTAAGGGAAAAATTCTCCATGTTTGGGAATCGAACATCGATGGTGAGACTACCAAACCACGTATCTCGGTTTGCGACGTCGCAGACTTCCTGTCATACTTTATTTTTTAAATGAAAAACTACTTAACATCCAGTCTTGAAAATTTCTGTGATTTTTCCTCTTTGTGCAGAGAAAAATCTGTGAAAATTTCAAGGAATGATATAGATTTGGTCTACTTCAAAAAAATAAAATGTGAGCGTAGATTTTTAAACACCGCAAACGAGATACGTGGTTTGGTAGTTTCACCGTCGATATGTAATTTGCGCTGATCGCAAAATCGCGTTTTAAGAGATCAAGTTTTCAGAAAGTTTGTGGGGGGGGGGACGTCATAAGTCAAATTGTGATAAAAAAAAACGTTTAAAATAAAACGTTTTCAGATTCTACAGGGAATTCTGATCTACAGGAAAGGAAAGCCATTGGAATGATAAAGTATTCTTTGACAGGATGTTGAATTTTTTAGTCTACGTGCGTTACAAATCAGCATAAAGCTGAAAATCTCAATACAGAGGGAAAAAGCTTATATGAGCTCAATTTTCCCTCAAAGAGATACGCTGTTTGGTGCAACACTAGTAACAACCATTCAGGAAGACAATACTGCAGACGCGTTTCGGCCTCATTGGGCCCATCCTTAGTGCAGCGCAGCCTCCTGAATTTCCAGCGAACAAGCGAATGGTTGTCACTAGTGTTGTACCAAACAGCGTGTCTCTTTGAGAGAAAATTGTGCTCATAGGAGCTTTTTCCCTCTGTATTGAGATTTTCAACTTTATGCTGATTATTAATGCACGGTCGCTAAAAATTTCCAACATACTATCTTACGACCCGTGCGTCTACCGCAATCAGTTTGACTATTCTTTGGGACTAGATTATCGATGGCTAACGAACGATACCTCTTATCTGTTAGCTGACGATTTTGCAGAGCGAAGAGGAAACTTTTCCATTTTTGTAATTTATTTTAGGTTAGATTTGCAATTTTTTCGTACATTACAGCGTCATTGCAGCGCTTCTCTGCAGAATTGAAAAAATTAAAATCATCAGCTTCCGTATTTTATACGTAGAACTCGGCGAAGTCGCAAACTCATTTTCGCCAAAATTGTCAGTTAAGCGGTATCGTTCGTTGGCCCTCAATATCCACAATTAACAAAAGGAGAATTTACAACTCCATGATCAAAAGTATACTAACCTATGGCGGTGAGGTGCGGCAGTTGAAGAAACGATCCCAGGACACTCACGATGCATCACGGCGTTGGTCGGCTGGAAGTCAAGGAAGGATCACGTTCGGTATGAAAGGATACTATGAAGGAAATTATGGGCGTCGAAAACGACATATCGACGGTGAAACTACCAAACCACGCGTATCTCGGTTTGCGACGTCGCAGACTTCCTGTCATACTTTATTTTTTAAATGAAAAACTACTTAACGTCCAGTCTTGAAAATTTCTGTGATTTTTCCTCTTTGTACGGAGAAAATTCCGTAAAAATTTCAAGGAATGATATTGATTTGGTCTACTTCAAAAAAATAAAATGTGAGCGTAGATTTTTAAACACCGCAAACGAGAAACGTGGTTTGGTAGTTTCACCGTCGATATAGTGCATGACATTTTCACGAAGCAGCTTGTTTGGTATGGGAATGTGCAAAGGATGCCAGATGATAGGTTGCCTCAGAGGGTTTTGGATTGGGTCGCCTCCGGCAGAAAACGCAAAGGACACCCTGCCAAATCTTAGATTGATGGAATAAGGCAAGAAATGAAAGATACGATTTGCAGTAGGAGCTCTGGCAGGATCGCTATCTGTGGCGGTTGGGTGTCGCAGAGCGCACGGAGGCTGTATCAGAGCGGCATGTTAGTACTGCCGTGCTAAGGAAAAACGCCGTATGAGCATTCGAATGTTGCCAAATTTCCTCTGGGAAAATATTTATTTTTGAGGAAAATTGTGAGTATTGTTCCTCGAAATTTTCAGATGTTTTAGAGTAAATCGCGAACAAAATTTTCTGAAAAATCGAAGGAAAAATACTTCCCAATTTTCCCGGAAATTTTTGACTTATGGAAAGGAATTTTGGAAACGGCTAAAGGCTCACACAGCGTTCTCCCTTAGCACGGCAGAGTATTAGTAGCAGTAGCTTTCAGATTGGTAAAAATAATAATATTAGGCAAGACGCCTAGTTTCTCCGTCTAAAATCAACGGAATTATCACACCTCGAAAAACATGATGTATGTATACGGCATGCATCGTGTTGGTACATACTATGGTTTCTTCCATCGTGGGTCCATCATGAATTGGACTACATTTTGCTATTCGGAATTACAACGTCTAGCTTAGTTTAGAAACAACGTATGCGCCATTAGTTTCCCTATTTATATACGTGTTTTTACACAAGAGCCAGAAACTGTAGCCCCTAATTGCAAAATATAGTCTAATTAGTGATCCGCACACTTGCATTTGCTCATCTTGAAACACGAATGAAATCAAAGCACCGTGCGTATGCATGCGCCGCGGTGACTATGACTTGGACTGCATTTTGCAATATGGAACTATAAATTCTAGCCCGGTTTAAAAACAACGTATGTGCCATTGGTTTCCCTATGCGCACAAGTGTTTTTCCAGATGAGCCAGAATTTATAGTTCCAAATTGCAAAATGCAGTCCACTTCATTTGCCGTGTTAGATGGAGAATGTTCCGTTTGGACACATATTAGGTATTAATTGTTCCAATATACCTTAATGTATTCCATTGAAAACGTATCTGTGATCTGCGCGAAAGACTTACCACGGAGCGTGCCTGCATGGCTACATGGGAGAACATATATGTTCAAAGGATTAGACTTTCCAACTTTTCGAGATAAATGAGGGAACGGTATACCACGGAAAAAAATTTCGACTATAAAAAAACTTGATTTTTGACGCAATGATACTTACGGTGAGGGTAATCAGCGTATTGGTAGAATGCATCAGTAAATTATTCACAACATCCACTGAAAGCAAAAAGAATCTTAAAGCCGCCAAGAAATATTTTTTCTTGAATTGATAACGTTGCTACTTAATTTAAGTTATTTTTCACTTAACCGAAGCATTTTTTTCTTCTTTCTAGAAAAATTTAGCTTGAATCTAGTTGAAAAGAACTGTTGGCAGCAAATTCAAGAATTATCAGACTTAAGCGAAGCACCTTTTTTTAGTGTGGCAAGTCAGATGCGCACACGGTACTGCGGCAGAATTCTGCCAAGCTAAGGAAGAACGTCGTATGAGCCCTCAGGCGTTGCCAAATTCTCTTTCATAAAATATGAATTTTCAAGTGATTCTATGAAGTGATTCTTTGAGTATGAGTGATTCTTTGAATTTTTCAGAGAATTTTATTTGCGACCAGATCCAAATCATCTGAAAATTTCGAGGAAAAATATTCATAACTCTCCTAAGAATTAAGCATTTAATGGGAGGAAATTTAGCAACTCTCCAATGTTCATACGGCATTTTTCCTTAGCATGGCAGTATTGTAAATGGTTTCAGGTTTATGGATACCTTCATCAAGAATATTGCATCACTGACAGAAACCAAGTGCAATACTGCTTGAACCTACCCTACTTTTCTCAATACTTAGTTAATGTCTCATTCTTTATTATTTTTCTTCATTATTTATTTTTTCCTTTATTTCTATTTTGTCTTTTTTTCAATTATTTTATTATTTACTGATAAAGGCAAAAACTGGCTCAACTAAAAATGAACTTGTTTCTTTTTCGAAACAACTGATCAACTTCGAATCCTCGCAACAGAATGGTCAATACTGCCGTGCTAAGTAAGAACGCCGTACCTATAAGCATTTGAATGTTGCCAAACTTATTATTAGAAAAACTTCATTTCTGAAGAAAGTTATCAATATTTTTCCTTGAAATTTTCAGATTTTTTAAAATCAAATTACGAATGAGATCCTCTCAAAATTCCGAAGAGAAATATTCACAAATTACCCTGAAAGTTCGTGATTTGTCGAAAGGAAAGTTGGCAACACCTGATGGCTCTTACGGCGTTTTTACTTAGCGCGGCAAGTTCATCTTGTTTCAAAAAATGCGGTACGCTTCTTGGATGAATGAGTACATGAAATATAATATCCTGATGGGGTGCGTTACATAAGCTTCGAGGAAATTCGGTGGATCATCCTAAATTTGGCAACGCTTCGAACGGGTGAGCTTTGAGCTTTCCTCAATCTCCGCGGATGCATCGAATGGCACCTGCCAATCGTGAGCTTTGCGTAACCCCGGTTGAAAGTTCCGGTCGGAACTTGATCAGATAATTTCGATTTCAGTGCGCCTCTAAAGAGACGCACGGTAGAAGTAGCGTGTAGCAGTGTACCTCGTAGGATAGCTTGAATTACACCTATTTTGGAATTCAGAACTTGGTAGTGGAACTTCGGCGCTCCTGAGTGCATTGAAAAAAATTATTGTAAACATGTGTTTAGATTGAAAGAACAATTTCTTTGATTGAGAGGAATTTCTTTCAGAGTAAAGACATTTAGTCGTACTAGGTATTCAAAGAAATTAAGTTTTGAGTGACATACATGTTTTTCTAATTATAATCCGTTGGTTTCGAGTGAAAAAAACGATTTTGTCATCGATGACAAAGTTAAAATTCTTTAAATTAAAAAAAAAAACTTCATTTGATTCAACGATAAAAAAAAATGTATCTTTTACTGAAATTTAATTGAGGCATGGTTGATTCTTTTGAATCATGAGCAAATTGCAGAGCACAGAATATGTAAAATTTAGTCGATTGTGCAGAACAATACGCATATTTGAGGTCCCACCAGGATAGAATGTGGAGCTTATCTGCTTATTACGTATTCCGGTCACTTTTGTTAATTGCACCACATAAGTTATGAATTTGAATTGTGCTTCGAAAATTGACCAATTGACCCAGTAATTTTCTATTACTTTCATCTCGTTCTCTGCTCTTTTTGCACTTTATATTTTAGTCCATTTGTCATGTGTCTTGCTGATTTGTAGTTCGTCAATGTGGCCGCACGAATAAATTTATGATTTTTTATTTTCAGATTGTTGGCGCGATTTTGACTTACGAGATTGTCCTGATTCAATTGCAACAACCTAAAGAGAAACCGGTAGTTGTGATGGGAAATTTTTAATCTACTCAAAATAGTCGCTGTCAAAATTCAATCTCGCTGACCCATTCGCACACTAGACAAACTGCATTGAACACGCATTCTGTCAATTTCTGTTTATAAAAAACAAAAGGTTTTGTTCCTTAAGTTCCTTCCTTTAATAAAAGTTACATATTATGCTCTTCTCAGGCACAAAAAATAAATTATTTACATAGTAAACTCTGATTCGTTCCTTTGACACGTTTCGACATTCCTTTTTCCTGGCCATAATAAAACCTTCCTCTCCAATTGATAATGAAAGTTGCGAGACACGTATTTCGATCTTAACGTTTCAAAATCTGTTTTTCTTTGATTGTGTTTTTCAAAGAGAATGTGAAAAACGCAGTTGTTTGAAATTTTCACAGAATATTTGAATAAGAATATCATAAGAATATTTGAAAATTCAAAATATGTATTTTTGTAATTTCATAGTCATAATTTCCGGAAGTAATAAATATTGTTGTCGTATGTGTCCTGGTACCACAACTCCAATGGAAGAAAACATCGAAAAATTTAGTTTTATAAATACTTATTTATTACAAAAAGATTGAGAAATACATTACACACAAATGATATATAAATAAAGTCCAATGGCCTCTGATGAGTAATTGTAAACTTAACCTATTTGGTCTCGGAATGGATGGCATGAAACGGGAGAAAGTCAATATTTACAAAAGAAATTAAAGACAGACAGAAAGTTCTGTCCCTTGCAATTCTATTCAGTCCCTTATCGACCCTTTGGTTGACAAGGTGTCATGTGCCATGGGTTGCATTCACTGGTTTTGGCGTCAAATCTTGTTCCAACTGGACACAAGAATGATTCTTTTTGTCCATCGTAATGACATAAGTGGAACACCTGAAACACACAATATGCTTTGATTAGTTATTTGTATAACATTTGAAGTATTATAGCGTTGAAATAAATACAAGAAAGAAAAAAACAAATCAATGCGGAAGAGACTATAGGAACCCCCCTCTAAATTGGACTAAATTTTGTAATTGAGAGCTGCAATTTCTTGCTAATACGTAAAAACACTTATGTGCATAGGAAAACTAAAAGTACTTTCATTGTTCCTTTACTCAGTCAGAAATTGTAGTTCTTAATTGCAAAATTTAGTTCAATTATATACTCTCAGATGAAAGACAATTATATACTGCCGTAGATCATAAAAATCAGACAAAATCTGCATCAATTTTAACAATTTCCTACTCGCAGGAGAAAACTAATCCTCACTTTCAAGCTCCAAATGCGAGCTCAAACTGCTTACTGTGATTTTCTGGTTTGAGTATGGAAAATCGCCTTCATTTGTGCAATATACGTCACTACCAGACTTCTGAACAAGAATGGTTGCTAGAATATACGGCCTTCGTGAATGTTGAATATCGCTACAGTTTTTGATGTGCTACGTTCACGTTGGTTTTTAATGTCGGTGCATCATCTTTCAAGCAATCTCATCTTTCATATTCCCAATCGATGATTTCACAACTGCGGCTCAAAGCACAATAAATACGTGGCCACGGCCGGAGAGAAGGGGTGGCTTCCAGGACTTTATGTCCACCTACATTTCGTCCATTAAATAAATGTCCACCGCTATTTATGTCCACTAAACATTAAGTCCAGTCTATATTAAGTCCACATGATTTAATGTCCAACCATGATATGCCCAAAATTGTCCAAATTGTGGACACGTTATGTCCACATTTTTTCTTCTAATTTAAATGACAGGAACCACCTCAAAAATAAATGCATACTGCTACCATTCATTCTTAAAAACATTTCATGCATGAATCCAGTCATGAAAGAGTTAGTTAGTATAATTTTAAGACATTCAGCGTCTCAGGCTATTAACGTCTTTACAGATAATTTTGAAAATGGGAGTATAAACGAAAATTTAGATTTAGAGAACAGACTCTAAGAGCAGATAAAAACATATGTTCATGTGTACACTGTACGGATATGATAAGATGAAAACCGAGGCGGGAGCCTAGGAAACGCTCAAATGCCACATTAAACATTTTTCAGTGACAGATGCAGTCAAAATTGAAAGCGTCCTCTTTAACTAGTTATTTCGTGCGCCTTCAATCTTGTAGGACACTGTGCAACTCCTCTGGCGCGAAATAGTTGCTTAAAGCGTTGCGGCGCGGCAGGCAACCAGCGTGACACGCGCACAGGCGCCTACAAACCTAACGGGATACTTCACGCGTTGCGCAATGCGTGAAGTATCCCGTTAGGTTTGTAGGCGCCAGTGCGCGTTCTGCGCTGCTAACACGCCGCCCCGCTCTGTGTTAGGCTCTAATATTTAAACTCGCGGAGTCAGCGTTTTTCAACTCATGATTTTGTTATTTTTGCACTCTCTGCATTGATTATTCCCTTTTAAACTGATGAAAAAGAAATATGTACTACTGGAAAATATAATGTGTTTTTTGTAAATATAAGAGAAGTTCCGTGTCAAATTTAATGATTTCCAAAGCATTCAAATTTATTCTTTTATGTTTTGGGCTTTTGCTGTTCTGCAGCGTGATGTAAGTGCAACTAAACGCTCAAAATTGGACGTATTTGACTCAAGAAGGTCGATGTACAAATAAGTTACAAACAAAAAATTGCGTGCTTCTTAGTTTTTTTCCTCTTTTATTAATTTTTGTACAGTTTCTTTCATCACAACTACGGCTCATTGAGATTCATATCGATGTCATTGCTTGGAAAAGGTTTCATAAATATTTACCACGTATTAAAAATGTAAATGTTTTTAAAATGAAGTAATCAATTTCATTAAAAAAAAGAATGTACATTTAAGGCATACTTTATATCGGAAATTTCAAGGATAAAAATGAAACCAAGTATTTACCAAAGACTATTTGAAAAGATGAATCAAAACAAGAAATTAACATTTCATTTAAAATATGAGTTACGATAACAACACCTTATTCTCTCTTAATTTTCTCATTTCGATACTGTCAATATAATTTTACACACGGACTAAAATATGACGATTGAATTTGATTTTAGTGGACTTTACATTTGTGGATTTAACTTAGTGGACGTTTAAGTAATGAACTTAACAATAATGTGGGCTTTAGAACTGTGGACGTAAAAATTGTGGACATAAAGTCCGTGTACCAAGGGGTGTCTTTTGGGGGCTCAAGGCCACCAACCCCTCCAAAAGCCAAAAGAGGTAAAATAAGTAGGCGGAAAAGAATTCCCCAGTCGCCCCCCCCCCCAGAAGAAGCCTGGTTACGTGTCAGGTGCACAAGTTTGAAAATTTCTTTTAATTGTGTTTTTAAGAGAAAATGTAATTAACGCAGTTGTTCGAAATTTTCACAGAATATTTATACAGAATAACGAATAACGGCCAATGACCGAATAAAATTCCCGAGTATTGGCTTGATTTTTTTGGAAAAAAAGTCAAGAATTCTGGAGTGCCTCAAATTAATTTATACCTGGTCGATACCGATCTGAGAACTATACGATCGATGAACCTTAAAATAGTGTTTTAAATATATTAAGAGATAAACCTAAAAAATTATTGCTGCCCCAGAGGAAAAGAAGCAAACAGCAAGCGAAAAATTTCGATTGTTTCCCATAAAAAAATGTTGGAAAAGTATTTTTAACGCGTGAGCAAAACTTTCCGTCTTAAACCAACAAACATTCAATTCGGTGAGAATATGAATGTAAATTAAGCAGGATGCTCAGCGTAAGTGTACAATTGGCTCTAGCTATTGTCGAGTGCAGTTTCAAAAGTGAAGGTATTAATTGAAATAAATAATAGGAGAGACGTAAATAACGAATAGCATGTGCCCTGGGACACACTTTCCGACATGGACTTTCATAGTCTCATTATAGCGATTCCAACGTTCACTCAACAGCTGATTAAATTGAATATGCAATTTCAGAATGCAGCTCATGCCGGCCGCTTTAATTATAGATCTCCTTCTTTTCTTTGACCAATACCTCACAACAAGTCGGGTCATTGTTTAGATTCCCGACGGTGCAGGTGCATTGCCGTGCTGAGGGGAAACGACGTATCACCATTCAACAGTTGCCTAATTTCCTCCGATTGAAAGTCTATTTTGGCGGAGAGGCGTAAATCGTGGGTGTTTGGGCTCTTGGAGGATTTGGAATAATAAACCCTTGGAATGTTCGAATCATTTAGAACTGATTGCGAATAAAATTCTCTGAAAAACCGGAAACATATATCCACAAATTTGCCTGAAAATTCGTATTTTAACAGGAGAAATTTGGCAACGTCAGATGGCTAGTGCGTCGTTCTGCCTTAACAATGAAGCACAATATTAAGCTGCATGGCGATGGCTAAAGTGCGAAACCACTCATCTCCGTTTGCAACGTAGTCGACTTCCTGTCATACTTTATTTTTTCCTTGGAATACTAGACAACGTAATTTCTTGGAAACTGCCTTGATTTGTCTTCTCTATTAGGAAAAGATTTTGTATAAATTTCAAGTTTTGAAGCTGACTTGTTCCTCTTCGAAAAAATAAACTAAGGGCGGAGGTCTTGAAACACCGCAATGGAGATACGTGGTGTCGAACTTTACCCATCGGTGGGGAAAGGGATCGGTGATCTCATGTGACGGGTGATTTGCCATCACCAAGAATAATTATTTAATTTTTGAGGGAGACAAAAAATAAGCACTTGGGGTGCGCTTGATCAGGAGGGAAAGGCGGATCAAGCTGTCACGGAGGGGAACACCCTAGGGAGGAAGGCTATAGCGATGTTAAAAGGAATCTTCCGGAGTCCGCGAATTTTCAAAGAAAACAATAGGAGGTATTCCAACGTTGTAGTCAAAAGAATTCTTACGTATGGATGTGAAGTTTGGCAGCTGAAGAAAGGGATACAGGGTGTGCAAAGAGCAACATAGATGGATGTCTGGAGAAGGTCGGCAGGAATTGCTGGAAGAGATCGGGTCCGTAATGATAGAGTGCGTCAGATCGTGGAAGCGGCATGACCAAACACCGTGTCTAGCATGGTCATGTCAACAGGATGACGGAAAAAAGGCTACCAAAGAAGAAGCTTGATTGAGTTCTCCTAGGAGGAGACGTAGGAGACGCCTTGTGAAAGGGTGGCGACGGGGGGTTTTAGAGGAAATGAGTGCCAAACTCCCTGAAGGGCCTTAGGAAGATAGGGGACTTCAGGGATAGGTGTCGTGGAGCGCCCAGCAGCGCTATGAAAGCGACTTTGCACTGAAAAAAAAATCTCGGTGTATTTACTAAGAAAAGGGTAAAATTACCGAGAATTCAGGGTTCTATTTGATCCCAGTTTTCTCTTGGTAAAATTACCATTTATGGAATTGGTAATTTTACCGAGAAATCTCGGTAAAATTATTGAACTCTCTCGGTAATTTTACTGGACCTTGGTAAAAAGGCCAATATTTATTATCGACTGTGGTAGAATCACCGAGATAAAATGGCACAGTTACCGGGAATTGATTACCAATAAAAGTGGCATTCTTACCTGAAAAAAACAGTAAAGATACCGGTTTTAGGTAAGCTTACCAGTCTGTCTTGGTAAAATTACCAATAATTGGTAAAAAAAAGTGAGATGGTAAAGGTACCAACGGACCTTGGTAAAAACGCCGAGAATTTTTTTTCAGTGTGATGATACATTTTTTTAATAATTTGTCGATCGAATCGGGTCTGTAGGTTCACGTCGATCGAATCCATAGCCTCTCTCGGGCGTAACCACTGTGCGACGTTCAGCGTCGAGCAATAAACTGGAGCCGAGTCCGAGTCCTGGGCTCCTGGCGGAATGGCTCTGACAAGCGAATCGCCATTATCGCATTCAAATGAGCCGGGAGTTATGTCCGAGGCGTGACGACGGAGGAAATTCAGGAGTCGGACTCG